CAGTGTCTGGCTACGTTTACACCGTACATTTAGGCTGCGGCCTATACAATAGATGTCCTTGTTTATCCTGTAGGTCAAACAAAGACATCTATCGTATAGGTCGCGGACTAAGCGCACGCTGTAAACGTAGCCTCTGACTGTGTCCTTGCTGGAAAGCAAGGCGTGTGAACGTAGTAACGGACGACGGTGCTGCGCATGCGCATTGCGAACATTAGGACCTCCCTACCTTTCTCTCTCGCACAGATGCTGGCTTCACGTTCAGCGTCCTATTTCTCTTCCAGTAGTAATGTTCTAAGATATATACATATTATATCTCAAAACGCGCCGCGGTATTATATGACATTAGAGATATCAAAAAGGTACCTCATTCTCTGTTAACTGTCGGATTATTCATCTACGCGATGGATTGACTCTCGCCATTCGTACGATCAGTGAACGCGGGTCAAATCGCCAGTCGTTCGTTGCGCGGCGGACGTTTTCCGCGTTTTATCTCTAGAAATATATTCGAGGGGAACAAGAATATATTAGATTAACATTTGCCGCTAGTTCTACTTGATGGGCGATCATTATTTCTCGAAGAAAACTTGAATTCAAATGTGTTTTGCGTCACATATTCTGATTAGTTAATAATTCTCGAGAATTTCGCCGACAACTAAAGCAACTAGTTCGCGCGTTTTTTGTGGCGGATCGCATGATTTAAATAAATAAACGGAATGAAGCGATTTGTCGATCGTTTAATTGCGTTTTGTCGAATTTACGCGCTCGGAGTTACGTCGCAAGCGATCTCGGGTGTATATTTTCGAGCGGCTCGCTCGGTTCAGTCGATTGCTGATTCGACTCGCGTTGTGTCCACGCGGCGTCGGTGTGAAATTGGCGACATTCGAATCTTTCGGTGGGTCGTCGAGCAACACGAGAACGTCATAATGCGTCGATCGTTTCGTCTCGGGAGTGTAATAAAGTATCGCGATTACGATATTGTTACAATTAGTTCAGTTTCGGTTTCCGCGTTTTCGCGAGTGTTGCTTCGTGAGGATGCATGCGCAGCGAGCGGTCCTGGAACGAGGACGTCGGATTCATTGGCAAAGCGGCGTCGGTGTGAAATTGGCGACATTCGAATCTTTCGGTGGGTCGTCGAGCAACGCGAGAACGCCATAATGCGTCGATCGTTTCGTCTCGGGAGTGTAATAAAGTATCGCGATTACGATATTGTTACAATTAGTTCAGTTTCGGTTTTCGCGTTTTCGCGAGTGTTGCTTTGTGAGAACGCATGCGCAGCGAGCGGTCCTGGGACGAAGACGTCGGATTCATTGGCAAAGCGTCGCCAGCGTCGCGTCGATGGGTGTAAGTACTTTTTTCTATTAACTTTTGTGATGAGATAATGGATTTATGAATATTAATTGGTTAGATGTGATTTGTGAACGAATAATTAGTTAAATGTATAAATTAATATAATTATATTAATTATAGTAAAATACAGACTAATTATAATTATTATATATTAAATATCAAAGTGAATTATTACTCTGAAGAGTAAAATCTCACTTTTAAAAATTGAAAATTGAATCACTCTGTTTCAAGATTAGCTCAATTTTCTCTCTTTAGAGAATTTCGCTTCAAAAAATTTAGAAATCGAGTAACATTTTACACATCCAATACTTGGAAAATAATAAAATGACTATTGATTTTATTTTTAATATTTTATAGTTTTTGATAGATTAAAAAAATAATTCTAACCAATTAAATTTAAAAAATTGTTTCGATAAAGGATGAATTCAATTTACATTGCGTCAGTATTACAAGAGTTTCTTTATCTTATTTTTACATTTTAAAAGATTTATTGTTCTGTATATAAAAAATAGAAAGAATTTGTCGTAACAATACAAATAGTGAAAAATAAATGCTGCAAGAAATCGAAATAACAAAACACATAGATATGCTACAGAATTTTATTTATTATATGGTAATTTCCGCATTATACGACTACGCATTGTAGCAAGAATTCTAATGATAAATAATTTATATTATCAGAGAAAAGTATGTATACGTCGAGTAGAGACGCTGATATTATATATTTAAAACAATATCAGTGTATATTTTTGAAAATTTGAATACATTCTAAATGATATCGATATTATATAAAATATGTTCTAGATCAAACCTAGGAAACTTTACTACTTTAGACTCGGAAACTTTGCTCGCAAACTAAATGCTTCTATCTTTTTATCATTGAGCAAGATAGAGAAAACAAAAAAAAAGAATAGAGACTCTGGTTAGCTCTAATATTTATTGTTTTTTGTTTTCTTTCTGTTTCTCATTCAACGAGATAATGGAGAAATAGAAGCGTTTAGCTCGCGAGTAAAGTGCTGCATAAACCTATTCTAAATAATATCGATATAAGTTGTTAGGTACTTGATTTTGATTGGATTACATTTCTTATCTGAAATGCATTCATAATTCTTACAAAACTCGATATTACTTATTTTTTAATTATCTTATATTACCTGATATCGACGAAACGATATTTAGACATTGACTAAATTTCATAAATATGTATTGAATTTAATTCCATCCCTAAATACAGAAAATAAAAGCGGGATGAAACTTGCGCGATTCTTTCTCAGCATCTAAAGTCAGCATATAGAACGATGTTTACGCGCTTAATGATCCATTTTCAGATTTAATTGTTTTAATATTTAACTACTATAAACTTCTACATATAGCCCGAAATTTTATAAAGCCTTGATAAAGTTACAAGATATGTCCTATCAACTTTAATATCATCAAGAAGAACATTGTTCAATATAATTCTGAAATCTTCATATATATATAATATATATATATAGTTTTGAAATTATGATATTCTTATATAGTTTCGTTTTTGCAATCACGTATAATATTAACATTTCTATGCGTCAGTCCGTTCCTTTTACTCTTGAAAAGATAAAGTCTAACATTTATATAATTACATGTACTATTTCGCAAATCTATATACACATTGTACGGTGATAATAGTATTATTTGCATGTATATTCCTCGGTGCGTTCCATGCAAGTCTCGCAATGTACGCGGCAACACCAGTGAAACTTGCATTTGCATTGCCACGTTCTCGTGAATTGATGTGTATTGTAGCCGCGACCGCAGCACATTAAATCACATCCATCGGTTTCTAAAAATAGAAAAAGATTTTTATTGTTTTCGTAAGCTAGAAAAATTCTTCTACTCTATAATTTCTGAAATTAATTCATTTAAATGAATTTACAATAGTTCAACATCTTAACGTTCTGACCGTTATGATGCTTCTTAATTTAAAGCATTGTAGAAAAATTCTTGTTGAAGAATTATCGTTTAACTTTTGTAGAATGTTTCGATAATTAAATTAAATATTGAAATACTATAGAAATACGTCAAAAATCAGCAAGCTGATTTTTTTGGAAATGAAAATTATAAATGTTTAATAAAATAGCATATTATCTACTGAATTGTGAAACTTTGTATCAGGACTTTTTCCTCTTACCTGTGCTAGTACGATTGCAATATCTGCCCTGCGTACCGAGGCTACCTTGCGCCAAGTCCGGCTCACAGTAATTGGGGGAGGGTTGAAGATAAACTAGCTCGCTTCTTTTTGGAATTCTTTTCGGGTTTATAATCGAGCTTATAGTCGGGCTACCATCTTTGTCTTTCGACCGTTTCTGTGTCGAAAGTACCAAGTACTTCTTGGACTTGTTGATTTTCTTCAACAGTGGCTGTCGATTATGCCGCGATTTGGCGAAATCGTTCGGCTTACCTTGAGTTTTGGCGTCGTTTCCCAATATGGGCACCATTTCCGGCAACATTGAATGCGACATTGCGTCCAAGATCTGTAAATTATAAGCTACATCAAATAATTTGCATTAAATTTTGGAAATAGCAATAGGAATACCATTAAACCATTATTGAATTGAATTTGATTTATCTGTATATTGAATTAATCTCGTGTTTTTAATTAATCGTTGATTTACTCGCAATAGACATTTACTAGAATAAGCTACCTGAACTGTGGGTGGGGGAGGCGGTGTAATGGCCATGACAGGTTTAGCTCTCCTGTATTTTTTCATAAGCGCATCGCCAATCTGACGAAAACTGGGTAACGTTCGCCAACACGTTCTTACAGTGCAAGATCCGGATACACCGTGACATTTGCATTCCGTTTGTAAAAGAGCTTTGACTATCTGAAAAGATAAAATGTTATATACAAATAAATATAATTTCCATAATTATTTCCCATATTCTCTTTAATATCGCCCGATTATTTGAATTATTTAATTCTTTTTATTCAACTAATTTATTCACTAAATGAAATACAGTACAATATTTGAAAAAAATAAATCTTATTTAAATTGTCTATATATACAGTATTGATTTATTTTATTCTGCAGCAATAAACAATTCCTGCTACCCTTTTTGAATTGATTTTACAAGTCCAAATATATCACAGAGACTTTGTATAGAGTTTCGAAACGCATTTATATATTGCATCGAAACAGATTACCACTTCTATCGTGCGCTTAATAAAGTGTACATCGATTTGTTCCTTACATTATATACACGCGTATCCTATGCAAATTTCAAATCTACACATACGATCGGAGCCTTTTTGGTCGGAGAGCGGGAACGAGAATGAAAACAAAAACTTACAATGCGCCCGATGAGAATGAATGCGTCGCCTGATGCTTGAATCATTTTCAAACGATATACACGGGCCCATTACGAAGAAATCAATGGCGTAGAGCTTCGAACTGTCATAATATTATACATAGTTCGATTGTTTTAATCACTTTGCGTGCAATTTTAAAAAATATTTTTTATCGCGTTCAAAAAAAACCTGTGACTTCTATTCATTATTTCATTGATTTATATATTTTTCATTTGGTCATGTTTATGTAAAATAGAAATGTTACTATATAATTATTTTGCGTACGATTTAAATATTTTTATTTTACGTGAGATAAAGTTGTATGCAGAGAAGTATTGGAAATTGAAGTCTTAAGTCTTTGATTTTAACACGTGAAGAATAAAAAGAGATTGACTATATTCTTCATAGATATGCTGAGAATCGATTATATAATTTGTAACGAGATGAAAATTACAAGTGAGCAAATTCAGTAAAATGTTTATAATTTCATCACTACAAATCTCCAAGTATGTAAAAAATGACTACAAAATATGTATGATTAATGTATGATTAATTTTCCGTGTAAAAATGACACTTACGTTACACGTTTAAATGTATAAATTCATTTTTTATGCAGTGTTATTTTTACAGAGGAAACCAATCACACACATATATTGTAGTCACTTTTTACATACATGGATTTGCAGTGAACTTTTGTAATTTTCATCTCGTTCCAAGATACACAGTCGACTCTCGGGTATAATATACGACTGCTCGAATTGTTACAAGCCACTCATTCTCACGTTCTCTCGCGTTTATGAACAATTACACACACCTTCCGTAACAGTATCCATAAGACGTACCGTAAGAATCTGCCAATCACAGTAGAGAATTCTTTTGAACTCTTAATTTTAATTGGCTGATTCTTACGGTACGTCTCATGATTACTGTTACGGAATGTGTGTGCCATGGCCTTTACAATGTTCTTCGGAACAATTACAGCGCGGATTTCGCATCGCCACGCCACTGGCGCGGGAGATGCATTTCGATTAACTCGAGGCTGATCTTAAACGGTTGTAATCGTATCGAATGTTCATCCGCAAAATCCTACGCACGCTCGATTTCCAATGGGGACCCTTCATTGTGCACCGATCGTGGACACGACGCGTACGCGCATGAAACTGGTTTAACATTTCGAATTATTCCGGCGCACCGCGTCGGTGCCACATACGGAGGAAGGTTTAAAAAATCTTCAAGGCATAAAATATGTGGCGCGCCGGGGCGATCAACGTTAAGAATAAATCATTACCTCTGGGAATACACGTACATGCGTGTACGTGCACGTACGCAGACCAACAGCGAGGTTTTATTGCCCGCTTGTAATAAGGGCCAATCGAGACGAAAGCTCGAGACGAACTTTCCCCAATTAAGGCGCGCCGCCCTCACCGTTTCATTTCACCTTCGGGCATAACGCAGTTGTTTCTTACAAACGTTCGTTTTCGATCATCAACTTTACTGCGTGAGAATAATGACGATAAAAAAAGAGTTATAGATTATTAGATCGGAAAAATAATTTTAATCCTGTATGCATCAGTAATTTCTTGCTTCCCTTTCTCTCTTTTTTTTTCTCTCCTTTAATCCACCTCACATTTCTCTCTCAAAATAAAAATTGGACATTACCATAGACAGAACATTAAGATATCTAGATACGCTAAGCAAACAGTTATGTATACGCGAATCGCAGATCAACGACATTGTCTTCCTCGATATAATTGGCTTCCCGCGTAGGTTATTGGGCGATAAATCAAAATTGGTAATGTCTGATTTGCATATACTTGGTGCACGATGAACGCGCCTCATTATGGATATTATCACTCCGTTATCCGATCTAATCCGTTCTTTCCTCTGTCAGGCTCAATTTCTAGAATGATTTTCCATAAAATATTAACGTGCTAAAACACATTCCTACATATATAATCGAACATTTCTCTTCTTGACAAATTGATTGATTACTTATTCTTAATTTCCTTATAATATAAATTATTCTTGAATTATTGTTTCTTCACTAATTTTCTACATGACAGCATAATTACATACGAACACGAGTGAGATAAAATATTTTGCGCACATATCGTTGCAATAGAATTGGTAGATTAGAATATTGTGAAAGGAAATGTTAAGAATAGGCAATTTGTTTAATTCCGACGCGTTAAGAATACGGAACTCGCAGAATACAAACTGATAACATTATATCAATGTTATAATGTACAAATTAATAATGATAAACAGATTCCTGTCAATTTAATAATAAAAATAATAAACAATAATAGGCCAATGGGAATCGGCGCAGAAATCAATGCGAAAATTCAATGAATAATTACGTACAATATGTGTTATGTATATATATTACATTTATATTATTAAGAGGGAAATTATAATATTGATGTAATGTTAGGAAATCGTGGGCTTCGAATAGCGGGCAATCAGTTTGCAAGCGTAAACATTTAGGCGTATGAAGCAAATTAAGTTTCATGGGAAGTATATCTGTCTACTTCAATTATATTGTATATCATTTGTATAATATGGTGTTATATAATTTTAGAATATAATTACGCGACAGGATGATTGAGAAATGGCGAAGAGCTGTGCTGTCGTCAAATACCAGCGAGCTTAATCTTCGCGTTAAACGATTTCTCTTGCGAATTACGGTAATTAATATTGCTTCACGGCAATTATGGTGCTCATTACATAGTATTACTTTTTGCTGACGCATATTTTATAACTTGTGACGCCCGTGTCTGGGCTCCTCTCATGAGAAACCTATCAGCCTTTTTTAATAATGTTATAAAGATAAAAATACAAAAAGAACGCTATCATTAATTACTACGCTTACCTTTCTTCCGGCTTTATTATTGTGAAGGTTCATCAGGCTCCGAGCATCGCCTTCGATCTCTCTCGCATCCAGAAACCTACGCGCGAACCTAACATTAAATTATAATATTAAAATTTATGCGTGTTTTAGCGTTCGCCGTATTCGCGCCGTTCGCGAGCATGCTGGCGTAAGAAGCGACGAGAACTGATAGTGCAAATTAATTAACTATCAGTTTAATTACCTCATCCCGTACGTGACGTCGGCGCTGCAACCGCCCCACTCCCAACCGTTCGGCGGTAATTCCTTCCTCGTCCTACAAAAATGCGATATTAATCGGTAATAATTAACACGTTGCGTGCTGTGCGCAAAACGTCACGGGATTTATAGCCTACCTTACAGCCGGTTCACAACCGCAAGCTGTGATGTTACCACGGCTGCAAGCTGCTGTCACTGCGTATGTAACGCCGGCCGAGCTTATCGCGTATGTAAAAGCCGCCTCTTTGCTACCTGCAAATAAAAAATGCGAAATTTTCTTCTGTTTTTATCTCATACAGATTAGAGGGTTGGTTTGATTTTTATACAAGGAAAGTTGAAGCAAATTTGAGAAATCTTAAAAATTCAAATCAATTATATTTCTAATTTATTATTAATACATATATAGTTTTAAAATGTAATAATATTAAAAATTATATAATAATTATTAATATTATAATACTATATTTTGCAAATTTTATATAATTATTTATTATATAATCTACATATTATAATAATTTAACATCTATGCCTATACACGAACCGTGGCTCAAATTTGCACGTTGACGGTGTTCCGAAACTCAAGACTTACGATAGCAGGCATATTCAAATGGACGTTGCCTTGTCAAGTATTTTCATCACGCGAATTTACTACAACTAGACGCTCGCCATCGCACTATGCGCGTAAAGCGCGAACGCAATTAATTACGCCATACTCTCAGCTCGTTTACCGTGTCGAATGAATTATCGTACGTCTGTTTCCTCACGATGTTCATTTTTCACTCCATTATCACAGTCGACACCTACGCGCCGCTCTGTCTTAAATCTGTCGGAGCCGGTCGGCGTTTCACTCTATCGTCGTCAAATTCGTCCAGCTGTAATTTGCTTGTCAGTGTTTGCCAGGGCGTGCAATAATCTCTCATGTAAATTCGGTTGAAGAAGAGGTATATGCATTAGCTTAATGTTGAAATTCAATGCTATGAAGACGTCTACTCCGTGAATCTTTAGGAACCAATTTACAACCATTATTGCCCCCACCGATTTGTGCTATTAGGATAAATTATTGCGTCACAATATGCAACGAATACGGTGAAACAACAGACGCGTTTATGTCTCTCTCATAAAGTTGTGGTCACAATACCATGTTCTGTTTTTCACACCATTCAGTTTCTATTATTTCTAGACATTCTATTATTTCTGATAATATAACAGAATGGAGTGTATCTCCACAGAGATGAATTTTTCATTTAGCCGATTTCTTTTGAATACTTTATTACTTTCAAAGTTGGTTTACTTTATTATAAAAAATATTGTAAAATATTTTATTGTAATAAAATATTATTATTAATAATAAAACATCGAGGAAATAAATAGACATTCGAGCAATTTATGAGAGATTGTCGCATACCCGTTTGCGAAAGCACTATCCGAGCATTGTATTCTTCCCGTCCGAGCCGGCGCTCTAGGACGCGTCGTGAAGGAAGCTGATTGTGCGCGGAGACACCATCGGTCAAAAGGTTGATGAATTTATGCTGAGCGTTTATGTCAAAGGACGGCAGCGCGGGCATCTATTTAGCGTCAGAGAAGCCGGTAAGGGGTAAATTTATCGTTTCGTTGGCGTTGCCGCGTTGTCGCTGCGACTCTTCTCTCGCTCTTTCTCTCCCGCTCCGAACGGACGAAGAGAAGTGTCCTTTCCATAAATTCATTTCAGCTGTAAAACGTGAACGCACCAAATGAGCACGGCTTCCATATTAGGGTTCGGCTCATGGTGATACCGAAGAGTCGTTGTTCGTGCCGAACGGGCAATGCGAAAGACGAGAGTAGGCCTCAATCTATTTGCGATGTATATGTGCAATGTACATAATCCTCTGTATACGCGTGTATTTGTGTGTCACATTACTTGTGCACTTATTAACGTCTGAAAATATTGCGGAGCGGCAAATAAAACGAGAATGGATTATCTTCTTGCAACGTAAAATAATGTTCTTGTTAAAATCAGTCCTCGTTTAAATGACCGTATTGATTCGCGTACAAAAAACTGAAGAATACGTTATTTACATTCCCGGTATTTATATTCCAAATTTCGATTGGGTTTGATTGTGTTTCGTAATACATATTTCGTAAATTAAAGTGAAAGTAAAGGGCGGTATCGCAAAGTGGTGATCGTTTAAATGACAAGAAGTAGAAAAAGAGGAGAACAGCGCAAAGTCGCAAGACGAATGGTCCGTGATTGATCGATTATACTGGCGATCTTTTAATTTATATCATTGCATTTTAAGTGACTCGCGTAATAGCCATACGAAATTTATAAGCCACCGCGTCACCGAACGTGGGCGATTATTTACGGCGATCGTGTGATGCGTACTCAAATTTAATAATGAGTACGTACTCATCGCAACCCTTCGTTTTATCGTATCATTCATTTCTTAGCGATAGTCATTTATTGATTAACGATATTAATGTAAAGGTATAAACGCTACACGTATCAGCTAAATCAGCTTGCATATATATCGCTTTTAGCCAACGATGCACTCATTTTATATCCTGTTATAAATTTATAATTGAAAAAATTATGATTTGTGTTTTACTTTAATTGGTACATTCATTTGGAATATATATAGAATATCTTAATGAAGTTTTATTAACGTAAGATATATTTTTTAATTTTACTATTTAATTTTACACATTCACCTGAGAGAAACAGTCACTCATCTGACCATAAGAGATGAACATCATTTGTCAAATAATTAAACAATTTTTAAGTCTTACCGATAGTAGAACAGGCAAGCTGATGCATCTTACGTGAGACGTAATCAGACTCAATCAGTCCTTAAGGAATCAGACTATTTAAACGCGGAACCTTAATTAAGGCGCGAGAATCTCGAGTTAATACACAACCGGTATTAAAACTTGCACGAAATGATCCTCAGAAGGGTTAAATTTCGCATCTTACTCCTTCTTAGTTCTTGTTATGACAGAGAAATACATTGATGGCAGTGGATCTCAAATGGCGATGCGTCACGCATCCACCCACAAGGCTTACATTGTCCAATGGTAGTACAGTAAGACGCTTTTTGCCCGATGCTCCATTATTATATTCTCCGCGATTTTATGTGAGTCGATCTTATTAAAGATAACGAGCCCGATCCTATCGTGTCAGGCAATAAAGTATTTCGCGTGTATCCATGCGATATTACTATGCCATCGAGGTGATATCCTGACTCGTTACTTGTCTCGCGATGAAAGGGGACGAGAAATGATTTGATTCTCAACTAGAAAGATGTATCTCGTTATTTTGAAACTTTATGGAATGAGATTTCTTTAACGATGCATATTTCTTGTTGCGAAAGAATAATTGTGAAAAAAATAATTACTAAAAAATTACAACTGTAACTAAAGAAATTATAAATTTGAATGATTTTATTTCCATCGGCCAAAAAAATCAAAATCAAAAAGTAAATTATTAAATTTTATATTAGACTGTAATCAGATTGAAATATTATTCTGGTTCGGATTCCTGGTTTTAACTCTTTACGCGCGTGAGATGTATACAAGATGTATACCATAAACTCTCGGTGGGTGGACGATAAGAGAGTTACCACCTTGGTGAACGGACGCGCACCGGCCACCACCGGCGGTGTTCTCTCCTTGTACCCTTCTTATGTTGGACGAGATCTTTATTTCGTCGTGAAAAAAAAAACATTTGTCCGCTAGCTTGTACACACGCGTGTGTATGCATGTGGAGCGTGCTTTCTCTCGCGCTTTATCTCCCTTTTCTCTCGCTCGTCGTGCCGAGGTTAAAAGTTCGCGTGTCCCTGTCTCCCTTGTCGTGGACATTGTGTGTACAGGGAATCCTTATTCGCCTGCGGCGTTTATCACAGGAGGACAGATCATTCGCTGGACTCGCCCACGCGACCTATATCGATGGTGAGCATCACTGAACGGTATTCAAACTGAATGAAACATTATTCTTTTTTATTTTGATTAATCTATGAGAATTACGTACACGTATGTATTACATGCATTATTCAGTCGAAAGATATGTTATTTGATTATATAAGATATGTTTTTTAAAAGTGTGATTTGATAAAAATTGCTTGCAACTCGTCATTGCTTTTAGATATCGTATTATATTAAGGATACATTAATCAAGATTTTCACGATAACATCTCGAATGTGAATTAGCGAAAAGAAGTTTGTAGATATAACATATTCTCTTTTCAAAAATTATCTTTTATTAGTATTTATTTATTATTATTGTTTATTAATTATCTCCTCTTTACATAGTTACATTTTTTCCGAATGAAATGTTGTCGTTTTACTGAATCGCCGCGCGTGATTTCTTTTTCTTTAACCTCGTTTCAGTTCTATCTTTCGGTCACGTGCTATTGGAAAAAGAGTAGACCGCTAAAGTGCGTCGAATCGGCGAGTAAATTAAGACTAAATTATTCTGGTCTTATTGTTAGTCAGAAAGAATCAGTGCTGAGACAAATTTCCCTATTCTTAAAACCCCTGCATCTGTATATTCAACAATCCGAATCCATACTTTTTTATTCTCCTACGGTATCATTTATCACTATTTCACAGTTTTCATTTAGGTACGCACGTAAAATGGAAATATATCATTCTGTGCATGAACGGAACGAAATTTTTATTTATGCGCGAACATATTTTAAGTAGTCCGAGTGAGCATGTTGACAATGCTTTAGCGAAGAAAGAGAATCTTAAAAATCTCTACTTTTTATTTTCTTTTTTCACTTTTTTGTTAGAGAGAGATAAATAAATATTTGTTATTCTTTTATACCTTTGTTATACTTTTCTTTTTATGTATTATTCAGATTTCGTGCTTCATGCTGAGCTATTTATGTTATGCTTATGAGCGGAGAAAAATGTAAATCGAGGGAAAACATTAATAGTTGTAATAGCAAGATTTGACTGTAATTTACGCTTGTCAAAGATTCTATTGATTTCGGAAAGAACTTATTAATCATTGACGAATAAAATTTAAAATTCAACTATAAAAATTCTTATGAGATTGTAAATTTGATTCATTGATGAAGTTTTGAGCTTTCGTCAAAATTTACATTACTCCCTATGCAATAAAAAAAAGTAACTGCAATACCAGTAGTAATTAATGATATAAATAAAAAATCAAATTAGATTCAGTAATTTACTTAAAAATTATGTCTAAAAAAGAAAGTTAAACATATAAATCTTGCGGAATGTAATGCATTTATGACCGCGCAAATCTCGAA